ACTCAATCGGGTTATATATCGCGATTGGGATATGGTTCCTCACTGTTTTACTTTCGTATAAAAAAAGGAAACAAAAAGTCCTGTCTTCTTCTTGTTCCTTAACATTCAAAAAAAATTTTGTTGCTTCTGTTTTTATTACTATAATTTTACTAAAATTTTAGCTCATAATCGACTGAGACTGGACTGGGATTGAAACAGTTTAGCTTCATAGCGGACTCGGACTGATTCGAACTTAGCCTCTAGCGGACTGAGACTGAAAAACTTGCCCATCTCTGTTACATCATGTTTTTGATTTAAATTTATTTTATTATCAAAGATATTGTTGTGAAAGGACAACGTAAATCTGCGTTTGTGAATTTTCTAAATAACTTTACACAAGATAAAGTTGATCATCAATGACTTGCGACTCTTTTGGCAGGACGTGAAGAATGTGGGTTTTATCTCGAAACAAATAGTTTTTGGCTTGTAGTTTGACTTGTAACACTTATTTTATTCATATTAGACAATTTCTATGTATTTCATTTCAGATCAACTCCAAGTCATTAATTTACTTCCATAAGTTTAAGTATTTTGATCCATCTATGTAAATATAAAAATAATATCGAAATTAAACAATCTTCTCTCTTTTAAACTCTTTACCTTTCTTTTTTTAAATAATCAAACAGTTTTGCTATTTCGTTTCATACAATTTTTATTAATAATTATTATTATAATATTATGTATAATGTTTTATTTGGATTATTCATGTTTTCAAAATACCGTAATATAAATACAAATAGTATTGTCCTTTTCTCTTCGATTATGTAAATAAGAACGTGATCATTTATCACAAAACAATAGAATAATTTTTCTTTTACTACTCCCGTTTTTGTCAATGAAAAAATATCTCTTCTACTGATCATTTATAATTACTATAATCTGTTATTATTTAAATGAAACAAGCAAATACAATGAGGTAAATATTTTATTCTATTGTACGATGAACAGCTGAGATTTTCCTTATTTTTCCTCTTTTCTTTTTAACAGATGTTTTACGATAGCTGTTTTTCTTTGTTTGTCGTATATACAGCTATATATATAGTCTATAGATATGCTCTTTTGGTTGTTAGAGAAAGGGAGAGAGAGAGAGGAAAAAAGAACGGTCTGATATAAAAAGGAAAAAACAATTCGACTGACGTGCTTTGTTATCATCATAACATATGTGAAACATATTGCCGAGAAAAGATTTACGTTTTCAACTATGCCCGTTTTAGTTAAATCAGTCTAGAACTCTGATAGAACGAATACTTGTTTGCAAATCAAACATTGTCGTTAATGCTAGACTGACTCGTTATTTCTTCATTGATTAATTTTGTTTTGTTTAATTATATGAATGTTTTTACAGAAAAATACCATTTTCTTCTTCAACTTGAAAAGATCGAAAATTTGTCATCTTTACAACCGTTTGTATTTTTATTTTTGATTATTATTGTTGAAGACGATAACGGTTACATTTTTCCTTGATTTTTTGTTTTGTTTCTCCTTTTATATTGACAAAAAACAATTAACTACTGCTTATCTCTGATTTGATATTGACAAGAACAGAAAAATACAAACAGAATGTATTTGTTTGTTTTACATTTAAATGAACAATTATTAAACCATAACTAGGTTATAGAGTATATTCATTGGTGACTGAGTTACATTCGTGTCAAACTTATTTATCTTATTGTGTAATTCAGAGATTAGTTAAATTGACCAGGAATCAATACATTTTCCATCATAGTGAAGATGTTTTTTAATACTAAATTAAAATAATTGTAATAATATGTAAATAATCTTTATTAATCATTTCTTTTATATCGACCCATGGAAAATAAGACTAGATTTCAAGTCGTTGTGCGTATGAAAGCAAAAAAAAAATGAATATTTTTTAGTATATTATTTATTTCTTAACAAGAAGTGTATTTGTCAATATAATGTTCTAGTTAATTTGATGATTAGAGTAAGAAAATAATACATATTTTAAATACGTACATTATAGTTATAATTTATTATTTATACATTAATATGGTTGACAGAACAGACCACACCTGAAAGAAGGTTAGGCGTTTAACTTTTACATTTTTTATATGTGTATATATATATAGAAAAGAAACATCAAATCAAAAACAAATATTGTGACATAACATTGAATTTTATGCTATTGTTATTGTTGTAGTTGGAAATGATTAGTGGGTCAACATTTGAAATAAATCTCTATAATTCACTTGTTTTAAAGTTGTTTATTCTAATATAAATATATTCCATTTTGATATGTTTAGAGAATGTGTTTACGATGATGTTGTCATAAATATCTTTTGATTATAATTACGTTTATTGCCAATATACTGTATTTTAAGTATTCATCATCGTATTTTCTCTCTTTTAAAATTTAACAAAAATTAATACAATTGTAGTATTCTTGAAGATAAATTTAGTTTTTTATGACTGAACTTCTTTTTTTTTTTACTATAAAACATCTCATATATTTTTGAATTTTAATGTGTAGTTTGTTAACATCTATTATGTAATATTGGTTAATGCTGTTAATGACATAGTTAGAATTTTTTTTTTCTTTTTAATGTTAAAGAATGGTTTATTTAACTATTATGCAATCAATTTTCGAATTTGTTATTAAACCGTTATCTATCATAGTTGGCTACTGTACATATTATTAATGTATCAAAAATTAAAATTATTATACCTCTTTAGTCTCACACTCTTTTCGTCGATGTCTTCTTTCCGTCTGAATTTGAATACTAGAAATGTTCGAGTCCGAATGCCATAGTTGTAACAATTAGTTCCGTTTTTTACATTTCTAATAGGTACATGAATTATAGGAGTAGGCGTTCTAAGTATCCATTTGAAAAACTATCAAAAATTATTTTGTTGACAAATTGAAGATGATTTAAAACGTCAATAGTACTGAACTGAGTGGTTTTTCTAATTTGATAACAATGATCGTCCTGTGTAATAAGATTTTATCTCGAATCTAAGTTCATAGACTCAATTTTGGTAAATTTTGATTTTTAATCAAAAAAGTGACTTTAACATAACTTTTTAAACAATATCGTACATGATCGTGTACTATTGAATTATGTTGATAATGAGAGATTTGTAAATTAAGATATGATTGATTAATGCTACACAACATAAGTCGAGATGTTGCACTTCTGAACAGTTCACTAACAAATAACTTCTGTTTAAGTTGGAAGATTACATTATTGACACAAAACATTTTGAATATCAAATAGTCTGTTGAGCAAAGACGTTTTATTTGTTTTTTTTTCAAATTTTCGTTTATTACATTTTCTTTTTCCTCGTTATTGACCGAGCCCAAGAACTTCTCTTTTCTTTTTGTCGAAAGGACACCATCTGTAGATTAAACGCATCGATACATGATTTTCTTCAATAAACATTGAATAAAGAAGAATAGGTAAAAATTATTGAATGAAAAAACGATAAAAAAATTTATCTGCTGAAACCCTCATAGAACGGTGGATGATGAAATTTATAGAAAAAAAGAGGAAAAAGATAACTACACTTACACTCTCTATTTTCTTTACCATGAAGTATCTGTGTGTGTGTGTGTGTGTGTAACCTGGATTGTTCTTGCACGAGTAGAGTGTATAACACATCTTTTTTCTCTCATTCTCTCTCTCTCTCTCTCTCTCTCCACTTTTTTCTTCTTATTTTTTAAAATCTGTGGACTGGCATGTGCATACACATTTTAGAACTATGTTTTATCTTTTGATATGGTTACGGACTTTATCTATTGTCTGTATTGAACATGAAAACAGAGTTTATTTAGAAAAAAAAAAGTCAATTCACACAAATTTTTTTCAAAGAATTTGTGTATAACGCACATTTATTTTATTTGATGAGAGAAAAATTTATGATTTATTAAATTTAAGTCTAAACTGTACATTCACGCCGACTTAGAATTGACAATATTTTTTAAACGTAAAGTAACGGCGATTAATTATCATCAAAATATATCTGTAACGTGTACTACATTTTTTTTTCTATGGATTAAATTAAAGATTTTTAAAACGTATAACCATGCTCAATAAAATGTTTAACATATTTTATAAAAATGTGTAGAAACCTTTTTGTAAGCATTTATAGAATTTTTATGTGATTTTTAGACTTGTACGAACAGAACGTTTATTTAATAGTCAAGAAAGACACCTCATCTTTTTTTTTCTTTTATTCATATGAACAACAAATAAATTGAAAAAAACGATTATTTTGTTGTGCTTAATTCGACTTTTCAATTGTTTCTCTCTTTATACTATCTCATATTTGTCTAATGTTCTGCTTTATTAGGCTAGTACAATTTGTCAATGACATAGTAAGAAGGGATCGTCAGTGAAGGTTTCTTTCCTACCCTCATGTTCTTCTTATTTAGTTGCGAAGGACACATTTTTTTGTTTGCTCCACATGATATGCATCATATAAATAAAATGCGAGTTAGAGTAAAGTTAACCTTCAAAATTCTTAGACATGTATTTTATCCATGAATTGTTTGTTCTTCTAATGTTAGTATAACTCATATAGACTCATACTTGTCAAAATAACGCAAACAACAGCACCAATATTTATAAAAATTGATGTATACTTTTTTTTTTAAGTTACGTGATCGACAACGAATAATTTGCGTGTTGTTCTTTCTTTCTCGTACTTTTTGGCTTATATATGTTGTCGCTGATATATAAAGCAAAAGAATACGACAAAAAAAGAGCGCATACAGAAATGAAAAAAAAAAATTCTTTTTCCCCTACTCCTGTTTTCGTGATAGAATAACATACATACTAAATAATCATACGCAATTTTGTTGTTTCTGTTTCTTTGTTATGATACAGAATCACGACATGAAATATTTTATGTGTCTCTTTACCTTATTTATTGTTAATGTTTTTATAGAAGATTGTACATAAAATGTGTATGTTCAATTGTTTTTTTTTTCCAATTTCAGTATGGTTGTAGATATTATTAACGATCAACAACATTTTAATCATTTGCCTTTTACTCATCACCAACATCGAACGAATACAAGATATGAAGCCAATACCTCAACAACACAAACAAGAACAGTTTTAGCAAATGATCATCATCATACATATCGTTTAACGGTATACAAAAAAAGTTGATTTTGAAAGAGAAAAATCACATTCTTATTTGGTTTTTAATATTGTGTTTTAGTCAGATTCACTAAGTAATAAAGCCCAAAAAATACTTGGTCCACCAAACGCTGCATTTAAGCAAAATTCAGAATTTAATGATTATCCTCAAACAAATCGTCTAATTATCGAGTAAGTTTGTTTCTTTTGATGTTTTTGAAATAGAGAAAAAAATGAACGTAATCTTTACTTCTTTTAGGTCATCTACTACTGTTCCAACACGTGATTCTCAAATTCCTTTTGTTGTAAATAATACAAGTCCTTTAAATGTAAATGTATCTAACATTTCCGTCTCAAGTGAATCATTTATGCCCTTGTCTAAATCAGACGGTTCTGGTTTTATTTCATCATCAAATGTATGTAATCAACGATCAGCACAATTTTGTAAATGTTATCTTGTTGTTATTTAAGATTAAAAAACGTGTACCTATAGTAGAAAAACTTGTCCCACTCATTTTAAAGGTAAACAATTAACAAATATAAATATTTCTTTTTAACTCTTTTTCATATATCACTTTTTATACTTTTAGCTAGTTAAACAGCCAAAACTTCTTCCAAACAATGTTTCCAATGTGTATCCAAGTAAGATTTTCATGAACTTTTGTTTGAATAATGCAACTATCATCAATTGTCTAAAACTAATGATATTTCATGAAACTTAAAAAATTGTTTTTATAAGTTGCAACTACAATTGTAGATATAACTTATATAAAATTCATTTTGAATAGATTTGAACATTATCATAAAGAGAGCCATCTTTTCAATAAGAAATCTTAGTGCAGTACAATGTAGTAAATTTTTCTAAATGACTGTTTTCCTTTTTAGAACGAATCAACCATAATGAACGGTATGTTTAAAAACAAACAGTATTTTTTGTTAATTAAATGTTGTTGTTTCGTTTTTAGGTATGCAAATAGTGATAATCTTCAATTAAGTGAACCAAGTGACAATGAAGTTGAAGATAATATAACAGTAAAGCCTCAAAATGTAATGCTCAATAATCACAATCGTCTCTCCAAGACTGATGATGATGAATCAGAAGATGATGCTTTTGATGAGAATAGTAATCAAATAAATGAGAATCAACAAAAGTAAGACGAAGAAGTTCGCTAATGTAGATATTGTTGAAGTTATTTCTAATGCATCAATTTCTAGTAAAAGAAAATGTTCCGGTATTATCCATCATTCTTTATCGAGAGACGACAGTAATAAACTTGACAGTGATTTACAGCACAGTGATATGGAGAATGAAGAAGACCATCTTCCAAAAGTAAGTTGGCATATTGTGAATACAAAGAATCTACGATCAACTAAGGTTATTCGCCGAGCATTGTGAAAGTTCCTCTGTTCAAGTTATAGAATTCTCTGAACATGCTCTATTTTTCTTTTACTCAAAAACTATATCGTAATTATTTCTTTTGTTTTTTCTTAGGAATCCAATTTTTCATTGAGCTTTTTTGTTGAAAAACAAATGGATATGGGATATCAAAATTATCGTAATGATGATGACTCTCGTAATACAAATTCAGGTGTTCGATCACAATCTTCGCCTTTACATACTATAACTAATGAGTCTGAGAAAGATAAAGATGAAAAAAATATTGATCAACAACGAACAGTCGTTAGTGTAAGCTCAACAGGATTTCTACCAACATCGAATAATTCTGCTCCAATAATGGATGAATCAACATCGAATTCACCTTCTCCATCGAATCTATTTGTGTTACCACCATCATTAACATCATCCGCAATAATTAAAAGTGAAAATAGTGAATCGATTTGTACAGCACCCATGAGTCAGATGTCGATTTCAGATGAAGATGATATCAGTAATTATATGGATAAAAAATCAAGTGGATTAAATGAAATACAAGTTGATAATAAACACAGTGAATATAGTGATCCAGGTTATGTGTCGTGTACCACTGAACAAGTAAACTCACAACCACCAAATGATGCTGACGATAACAGTAGTAATAATAATACAACTGATAATCTAGTATATGATTTAGAAATATCGTCATCGGACGATGATGAACATGAAATAGTTTTAACAAAACATAGAACTAAAGATAAAAGCATTAAAAATCGTCGTAGATCAACTCTCTTGTCCCCTCCGTCTTCCTCTTCATGCTCACCTTTATCCTCACCAATATCAATTGAAAAATTAATTCAAGAAAATATTATTGTACAAACAGTCAATAATAATAGTGAAACAAAAACTAGTCCAAAAATCAAACAAGAAACGCCACCACCATCCGTAGTCAGTTCGAAAGAATATCCTACAACAAAAAGATTGAAAATAGATCATAAAATAGAGGTTACACAGAATGATATACGAAAGTCTAGAATTGAAGAACAATGGACGGTGGCACAACATGAATCTGATAAAATAACAAAATTATGTAAGATATCGTTTTGTTTTTCTCTCTGCACCTTCAGCTATGAAAAGATATCCTTTCCCCTAACTGAATGTTTGTTTTTTATAGCTACCTTCTTAGCCGATTCAAGTGCCCAAAATGATAATTGCCAGTTTTTAATTAACGACCATAAACAAAAAACATCACCAAAACAACAACAGCAAGAGCTATTACCTGTTGCAGTATCTGAAATAAATGATGAAAACATCAAAACATCTCCAACTTCGCACGTTAATTTGTCATTTAACTCAACCGTCGTATCACCACCACATCGTAAAATGAAACGTCTAAAACATAAAGATCGACACCATCGTGAGAAACTATTGTTAGAAACATTTTCCAAACAATTAGTTGTAAATACAAAAATTGATACGAAACATCCAATATTAACTATAAGCATACCATTACGATTATTCAAAGAAAAATCGAAAAGAAATGAACTTAAAAATGATGGTAGGAAGACTAGAAACGCGTTTCATTGTCTAGTTTTTCTAATCTGATGTATGTTTTTCTAGAAATTAATAATGATCACAAGAGTAATAGTTCAAAACGCAATTTAGATGGATTTAACAGAATAAGACAAAGTCATCTAGAAGATAATGAAGTGAATGAAAGGAAAAAGATTACTGACGATCTAACGATAAATAAGAAAAAGAAAACTAGTCATTATACAAAGTCACAGGATATTAATAGCAATAACAATTTTCAGACAACTAGCGAGCATCATACATTCAAAAATACGAATGAAATGAAAACAAATAATATAACGAACAATATCGATTCAGAAGTGAATGTCAACACATCAGTGAGCATGCGTGAAAATCATCTAACTAATGATCATTCATCTCCAAGAAAACCAAAAATGTACAGTGTATCAGTTGAATGTAATTTACTGAAAATAGATAAACCTATGAGGTATGTTTCGTGTGTTGCAATAATCACTTGCTCGATTTGTTTCTTCTGGCCATATGTTTAAGCATTATTTTGTCATAATTTTTAAGTTTTCGTTAGACTAGATACTAATTTGAAATATAAAACGAAATAACTAACGAAATATTTGTTTTCGTTATCGATCTTTCAAAAGAATGACGTTTTCAAAATAAAATCTGATCGAAGAGGCTATTTGTTTATGTAGAAACTCTTTTCAATAACATAACTTTTTTTATAGCCAACCAATTTTTATATAACTTATTTATTTATTAAATTCTTAACCACTACTATTCTCATGTATTTCTGTGTGTTTATTTATAGTTTTAAAACATGTGAAACGCAAACAACAGAAAGTTGGCATTCTTCAAAATTACAACAGCAACAGCCAACACCGCCTGATATGATGAACAAAACTAATTATACAAAGTTGAAGTATGTTTTGTTGTAATTTTACTCTTTTGGTTTGTACAACGTAGTTAAATGATGATTTTTAATTTAGAACCATGAAATTATTTGAATTAGATTCGTTAGCTAGACAAAGAAAGAAACTGGCCGATGGTATCAAACGTTTAACATCCGAACAAATGATGTTATATTCGGAATCTGTTTGTTATTTTATTTTGTGTGCTGTTGGTGAAAAAAATATTGAAAGACGATCTGGATTATTAAAAGAAACGTTGAATATGTTAATGTATGTTTCAACGAAGTATAATGTGATTACTTTGAGTATATAATATACTTTTCGATTTTTAGACAATGTTTTAATCAAAATAGACGCTTTACGCCAACAAGTTCTTGTCCTAATGATCCATTGATAGATGTTCGTCCAAAATTTTTACTCATCTGGTAAGACACAGTTACACGTAACCTTACGGTGGGTGACTGTGCTTGATTGTTTTTAGTTATTGGTTACAGTCATTTTTGTATCATTTGTGTTTTAATGTAAATATGCCTACGTTAGATCATTATATGCCAAACGTTAATGACTTTTTAAATCAAGTTCGATCCCTAAACGCTAAAAACAATACGACTACTACTACTACCACTACTACTACTACTTTATCGTCAGCGAAATCTGTTACAGCGTCCGGTATTGTTCAGATGACACCTGGATCCGATAATCCAATATCACCCGCTAGCAATATCTCAACAAATTCGCAAGCCAGCTCAACAAATACAGATACGATTCCAAATATTGAAAATAATCGTAATGTAATTGATTATTCAAAAATAATGATGTATTCCTATCATAGCCAAGTATTTTGGAATAAAGTTGATCGACATATAAGCGAAAATGAAACACTAAAAGGTATATGGATTATCTTAAAACAATAGCAACCAACTGAATGATATTCGATTTTCTAACAATTGGGCGTGTGTCGGCTCATTTTTACTATACAAACATAATATATATTTCCTGACAGCTGGATTACGGTTGTCCACTCTAGAAATTCTAATGTGGGATAGATTATTCTAAAATAAGGGACATCTGTAGAATATCGCTCTTTTTAATGAGAAACCGTTTACAAAACCCTATTTTTTAGTTTACCAATAGAAAGCGAGAAATTTTCAACGTAAGCAGCACTCAGAGGGGCGAATTTTTATGACGAACAGATCTTTAAATGGGGGAACATTTGGCAATCCTGTGCTAGATCTAAGTTTGACTCATGGGCAAAAAAATGTGTCTCAACTCAGCAAAATGATTTTATATAACTTGAGTCGTTACTTTTTTTTATTTCTGGTGTTATCAACAACTATTGTTATAAGAAATTTATATATTTGTTTTTTTATTTATTCTAGAATTTGTTAAACAATTACAACGGCAAAATTGTAATAGACGGTTATCACGTGATGATAACCCACATGATTTTATTGTGTACATTTTTAATGCTATCGAGTTAATGCGTTCAACTCAAGCTTAGTTCGTGCTTTGTACAACCATACATATTTATTATTATTTAGCTCTATTTTTCTGCATCTTTTTCTTCCTTTTTTTTCCATCGTGTTAAAATAACTAGCATTTATCTACTATGGAAACCGAAACAGACTATAAGTAGGACTCTTTCTCAATATGTATTCGTTCGATAACTTATTTTTTTGTGCGTGTATTTTCTTTCTTGTATTGTAGTTAGTTTTTTTTTCCTCTTCTGAAAATACGACAACAACAAAAACAAGTTACCGGTTTTAAGTGTGTAGAGATGTTTGACAGCATTTTTGTTTTGTTTTTCTACTGCTTATATACATGAACAATCATTCATTCGTTTTGGTTTTCTTTTTTTGTAAACACGTGATTTTCGTTTTGAAACAGAAAACAATTTTTTTTTGTTCTTTCGTTTTTTTTGTTTGTTAACAATACATCATGTTACATCATCTCATGTTTTCTCCTTTTAAATGACATCCTCTGTTTTTGCTTTTTCCAAGTCTATATTTTCGTAAAAATTTTATTTAACAGAAAAAAAAAACGTGCTCGTGCTACAAAGTGTTTCTTTAATGATTATTATTGTTGAAAAAATGCCCTTAAAGTGAACGCTAGATCGAAATTATTTCTATAAAATGTTTTTAAAATTAGATAATAAATGGTTTTATCTTCGTAAATTCAACTTATTAATAATTCTCATACGTTTCTATTATAATTACAAATGTTTTAATATTAACATCTCAGTTACATTTAGGTGCAATGATTTTATAACACTACAGATATTTTTGTGTCTAAAATTGGTTATTGTACTTTGTTTTATTTTACTTGTAATCCCACTGATGAAAATTTAACAAATAAATCGAAATGTATGTGAATATTTGTAATAGATCGAATTTACGAAGATAAAAAACATTTTCAATCTAGTTTTAATAATTTTTGACTTTATTCGTATAAAAACTCATAAATTTTATAATAAATGTGTGTCCTTGTCAATTCAATGTGTATTTGTGCGGTTTTTCTTTTCTTTTCACATCCTATTCAATTCGAGTAAAATATTTTAGAATGAATGTATCGCTGAAACCCAATATCTTCTTGTAGTTATTTTCATTCTACATTTTTAAATAGATAGACCAAAGAAAACGTCAGTATATATCCATATATATAGAGAGAGAGAGAGAGTGAGAGAAACCTTGTTTTGTTTTAATCTAAATGTATTCTTACTCGTTTCATTTTTCATCTCCCACGTCCATATTTGATATTGAATTAAACAATACTCTGACGTATGTGAAAGAAAAAAAAAATTATTGTTTTGTGCATTTTTATTGTTGTCCTTGTCCAGTGTCTATATTTTCACTACCTTCTTCATTTTTTTTCTTTCTTCGTAGGTAAACGCTACGTCTGTTGTGCTGGCTTTACGCTACTTTTCAAGTTGATAAATGTGTTTCTTAAAATCATTCATCTTTATTGTCTCTATTTATCCTTATACATACATACGTATATATTCTGCATCGTTGTTACTAATACTTTGAAAAAAACCATTTTTTTCGTTTGTTTTTCTTTTCTTTTTTTTTTTATTCTCAACAGAGGATTAGAAATTATTTGTAGAAAAAAATAAGTCAGAAAAAAATATCTGAAAATATAAAAATAGAAAAACTCATAAAATAAAAAATGGAAATTCTAAAATGAATGAAGTGTTCTTAGAATATTGAACACAACCACTTCCTGCATTCCTAGTTTATCTTAGAGCTTGTAATCAATTTTAGTTAACCTTCTCTTACATAAATGAAAAGTCGATCAATTATTATATCGACAGACATATTGTGTTTTTGCTGGAAATTTTGTTTTTCTTTCTTGTCTAGTCACTTTGTTTTTGCAAAATGTGCGCCACTTGAACTGGAGAACTACGCAACACAGAAAACTTCTGAAAAAGGGAGGATAATCTTCCAACATTGGAGATTGACCAATGCATATTTTTCTCTCAAATAAAGGTCCATATTCGGTACCCTAAGCTACACAAGTGGAAGAAAAATGTGTTTTGGACTTAGATAATTATTATTGTCATTTTTGTCTGGCGCCATTTAGCCAGAGAACGAAAAATAATTTCTTTCTGTTTTTTTAGACTTCCTTCATTGTTGTTTTATATTATAAGCAATTCAAAGACCAAACTACCGAAAGGAGCTTCTTGGAGCAGTAGATTCAGTCAGAGTCTATTGACATCGCAACTTGTGCGCAGCACAATTGCGTTCTAGTTACTTCTTTCCGTTTGAAAAAGACACTTGATATGAGATTTTTCTTAATTTTACAACTGAAGTCAACAAAGTTAAAAAACAGCTTCGAACTCGTTTTTCATAACAATGCCTTGTATTGTTTTTCCATAAACATCGTTATATTGTCGATAGAAAGACATTTTTAGAATGTACATACCTACGCCATCTATCATTATTGCGTTTTAGTGGTAAAATCGTGCGTGTTTTAGTAAGAGTAGTGTGATAGTTATGCTTCAATGATTGCGTTACATATTTATATTTAACGCCATTATCTGTAAGAAGGATGCGTTCGCTCGTTCTTTATTCGAAGTATCGTTGACTTTAGAGTGATTCATTGTTATATTAGAATGGCTATTAGTAGACTCACTATACCCACAAAAAATTATGGACATAATTGAAGCGTTGATGTCAGTTTACGCTTAAATTTCAGATTTTCAAATAAAACAAATATGTTGTCATTCTATTCTCATTTTATTTGTTTCTTTAGATCTTCGTTTGCACATATTGCAGTTGATAACAGTTTTATTTGAGGTCACTCAATAATGACTCGTGGCGATCAACGTGAACGTGCAAGAGAAAAAAACGCGAAAAATAACAAAAGTTCTCCAGCATCAGAAAAGGAAGCGAATAAAGGTTTATCATTGCAAGAACGACAATTGCGTGGTGAGTGGTCTTGCTTATTAAGAAAAATCATCTGTAATATACTGACTAATGAGGTATTCATATCGTTCTGGAAATATTTTCGTTGCATTATATCCGATATTGATGAACATATTAAATCTTCGAAGTTTCAAAAAGATTTTCTGAGTTGAAATCCTACGAAAACTATTTCGAGATCTTCGAATGGTCTGTTCACACTGAAAGAAAGCATATTTCATAATTGAGCACTCACAGAACATGGATAATTGATGTATCTAATGACAAAAAACGAGTTATTGCTCTACAATGAAATAGAAAAGAAAAACACTCCGCAGAAAACTGAAAAGAGCAAAAACAATTTTCGCACAGACTACTCTAAAAAGTTGATTGACCCTCCTATAAAAAAGTTTCCGACCCGCCCATACGCAAGTCCCACCTCGAACTCTGTTTCAACTCTAATGAGAAATTATTTCATTTTCTTTCGTAACATCTCAACTGAGATACTTGGTTAAAGTATAGATTGTATCTCAGTTGAGAAGCCGTTATTTCTGCAAAAATATCCGTTTCTCAACTCAGATACATCTAATAAAATATGGACTTCGCCAATTTTTCAACTAAGATACAATTTTGACACGTGCATTGAAACGTGCAAGAGTGCAGTGTACAAAGGTCTATTATTCCATAGTTCTGCAAAATCTACAAGAATTACAGTGACTTTCACGCCATTTTGCATACTTAAACGTTTTTTACAAAACTCGTGATTCAGACATACGCACTAATGATAACGTGGAGAGCAATGAATAAGAACTGATTTTGTTGTTACGTCTTTTGCATGCATGCGATTACTTGATAGTAATTTAATACATGGTCATATTTGACCATGTAATGTGGGGATAATTCCTCGGATAGTCAGTAACGATACGTCATATACCTAATTTCATTTCATTTACTATTGAATAATAGACCTTTGTACACTGCACTCTTGCACGTTTCAAAGCACGTGTCAAAATTGTATTTCAATTGAGAAATTGGCGAAGTCCATATTTTATCAAATGTATCTCAGTTGAGAAACGGATATTTTTGCAGAAATAATGGTTTCTTAACTGAGATACTTGATTAAAATATGGATTGAATCTCAGTTGAGTCCAAACCTTTTCTTCTTTATTTTATTAAGAGATATTTATTTCGCTTATGTTCACAATCATAAAATCGTTCTAATAATTGAAAACAACATTTAAGAAAGTTATTAAAAACCAATTTCAACTCTACTGAAAAAGAAGCGGCGGATTAAAAGGAGGAATAAAAAAGCACATAAGTTCTGGTGCGCGCGTGCTCTCCCAGTTGAGACACTTCTAAAAAAAGCTTTTCTGCGTTTAGTTACGATATATTTGTTAGGAAATAGATTTCTTTTGTAAAAATACCATAATTTTTTATCTAAACATCGCTCAGAGCTAGGAGATGTCTTATTTTAATTCCAAATATTTGTTTTTTAACGTAGTATCTATACAATATTTTCTACAATCAAGCAGTATGGATTCTGAGAGTAGAAGATATTGGACTATCTAACCCTGCGTGCTTATATCCAAATCAACTTTATGTATAAAATTTTGTTTTTCCGAGGGAAAGGAGACTTTAAACGTCTGTTTCGTTTCTTTTTTGAGATGCTCAACGTATGAGAGAAAAGCAAGAAAAAAGTAAAGCTACGGACGATAATGGTGGTAGGCCTGGTGCTACAGGCGGCGGTGCAAGCGCAACTGGTACGTCAAAATGACGTTTCTCAGCAGAAATAAATAAATAAAATTGAACAATTAAATTATTATTATTGTCATTAAGTGTATTTTAATATAATCAAAATACAAATATATGCACTGTTGTATTTTTTTCTTCTTTTTATAAAACCTAACAAATAGCCAAGAGTTTCTCTTTGTTACTTATCAAAAAAAATTTTTTTTTGTATACATTGTTCTTGAAATTATTGTTTTCTAGTTTATTATAATTTAATAAACGACTGAACTGGTATACTGTTATTGTATTTTCTCTCTCGAATTTGCCATTATCAATTCTATACTTTGTTCTAAATGAGACAGAATTCTTGATCATTAGACGACAAATTAAATTATCGTCTAGAGGAAAAGAGAATTGATCACTTTCAAAGACTATAATTTTTTATGAGAAATATTGTTTGATCAACTTATAATACTTTTGTTTTTCAATAAAAATTAAACATATTAGTTGAAAGTTCAAATTTCTACTCAATAATAGTAGATTTTGATTTAAGAAACCTATACCTGTTCAACATTCAAAAATTGTCTTATTTTATCATTTCTTTTCATTATAGAAACGAATGTATTTTTTTGATCAGTTATTACGTTATCATATCAACAGTCATAAAATATTCCTGTGAATTATTTTATTAAATATTAATGTCTCATTTTGTTAAGTGTAGATGAAGCGGTTGCATATATTTTTACAAAAAAGAAAAAAAACGTTTTCTTGATGAAAACGATTAGGTAGGATTATTAGTTCTATTGATTAGTATTTCAAAACTTTTTCGTTCTCATTTTACACATTTTTAGGTGTAAGAGTTTTCACAGAACAGACTATGACACTTGAAGACCATCTGTGATAGAAGTTGCTCAATAATTATATTATCAATGTAACATGAAAACAAATTTACTTGATCCAACAATCGTTGCTTCAATTGATACATCAAAAAATTGCATTATTGTTTTGTCTATTACAAACTGTTTGATTATTTGGTAATAAAACTAGCACACACAACACAGACAATTTTCAATTGTACCAAATTAATGTCCATTAATAAACTATGCTTACCATTCTTTACATTTATTTTATATGATTGACAATAGCTTTTTATTCTCGTGATTCTAAAACTGTGTGATGTTTTGTAATATATAGCAGGGCTCGAAACAGGCCGACACTTTTGAGGCCTGGTCTGCCTGCGTCACGTCTGTAATGTTTAGATATGTCTGGGCCTGTCGATATATTTTCTGGGCCTTGCCTGTCTGCCTGCTATTGTTCTCGGCCTACCCTGGCCTAGTCTGTAGAAGTCTGGTCATTTTTTAATAAACAAAATGTACAAATAATAGTAACATAGGATGAAAAGAAAAGTGACAGATAATTAAACAATATATCTGAGTAAAAACCTGGTTCGAGCCCTGATATATAGTGATTTTGGTATTTAGTAATTTTTAATTTTTATAATTTTTTAAAAATCCTGGTCAATTTATTGTCGTGTATTTATTTGTCATTATTTATGATTACACTAGTTTAATGAGAATAAAGTCTCATTTCAAATAAATATGATATGCTTCTTTTGCAATCAAAGGCTTGATTAACTTAGGCAACATGACAGAGACTGGCGCAAAGTTAAAGACTTAGAATAAAAAAGAGTTGTAAGTCCATGTTAATCGAACAACTTTTGAGTTTTTTGTCTAGTTCCAGAGCTCAATGTAAAACGGGAAGCATAAATAGTCACAGATTTGTGATGTTTTAGTTTGATATTTCTATGTATTCTAAAACATCCAATAGACATGCAGTTTTACTATGAATCATTTCAATATTTATTTTCCAGATACGTTCATCTTTGCACAATGGCCTCTGATGAACATATTGAAAAGAAGGAAAAGAAACAACAAAGCCAAGGCGAATCATTACCATTATCGTTAGAAAATGAATTACCAATTACTACATCATCTTGTCGTTGTGGACTATTTCAGTCATTTCCACCTGAAATATGGCTGCATTTATTTGGCTATTTGGATGCTGATTTCATTATTACAAAATTAAGTTTTGTATGTAAAAATCTACAAATGTTTATTTATCAGCAGCAATCATGGTGGAAATATCGTTATGAAAAAAAAGTAAGACAACCCTATCGTGAACATTCAGAAGATGAATGGACAGAAATTTGTCATGATTTTGAAGTAACATGTCATGAATGGAAACACAATAATAATACTTTACCATTATCTGGTGCTCATATAGGATCTATAACCAGTGTATTAATGCTTGAAGATGGCAAAACGTGTGTAACAGGTAATTTACTTTCTTTTTTTTTGAAAAAAATATTTCATTTTATTTTATTTTTGTAGGAAGTCGCGATAGTACTATTTGTTGTTGGGATTTGAGTCGATTAGTTTGTTCAGATACAATGCCGTTAGATACAGATCGAGCAGGTGGATCGACTTATGTGACAAAATGTGTTCATGATCCAACACAGGTATGTAGAAAACAACCTATTATTTCTTGAATGATATTTTATCTTATTCAATTTTAGATATGGATTTGGTCACTAGATCATGATAATAATATATTATCAAGTTCATCATCGAATTATGAAATACGTTTATGGGATATGAATGAAGAACTTCGAGAAATATCTCGTATTAAGTACGATTTTTTCTTCTTTTGTTTTGTAAAATAAATTACAATATGAATAGACATATACTTGATGCAAAATTATCTCTCAATGAGAACTATCAGATAATGATATTTTTTTATTATCTAGACTCCGACACACATTTGCAATGTGCCATCGAATAGAAAATTCAAAATTATATGCTGGTCTATACGACGGTCAGTTACAGATGTATGATACACGAGTATCGAATGAAAAAATTCAGGATATACGGGTATCATCATCAAAAGGCTATATACATACATTAGAATTAAGTGATAATTATCTTCTCCTACTACATAAACCAAATGTATTATGTATTTACGATCAACGTACATGGAATAAAATTGAACATGTACAGGTAAGATAAAAGTAGAATTATAGAGTGCTGTTCTAGTTGTCATTATTATTTTTTAGTTAAATATTACGCGACGCGCATCATTTTTCAAAGACTCGTTATTGTTTTTGGGCGACAGTGATGGTTATGTTCATGTATTCAATTGGAATAGAGATCATTGTGAATTTGTTGAGGTTGGTTTGTAGTTTATTTCGTTCTCACAAGAGAAATATCGCCAATTAATCAATCACTTTTTCTTCGAAATATTCTTTATTGTTTGATGGTGATCACGAATGGAATATTTGTTTGTTTTCGTAGACCTTTTTCGGTGAGACTACAGAAACCGTGCATTTAGAGAATTATAAAGCATTTTCAATTGGACACATACGGAGACTGCCAGATTGTAGAGTACTTCGGGTTACTCGAGTAGGAAACGTACGAAGGCAAACGAATATTCCATTCGTGATCATCATCAAACAATAAAGAATATTTCGAAGAAAAAGCGATTGATCACTTGATGATGTTTTCTCGGCAAATGAATTTACAGCAGATATTCAATTTTTTTTTCTATGCATTTTGATATTTTACTTATACTTTCTCTCTTTTTTTTCAATGATGAAAACAAATATTATGGTTTGTTCTTTTAGAAAATTAAGACGGACCATGCGCAAGAAATAAATGCGCTTAGTCATTGCCAAGGCATTTTGCACACATGTTCTACGAACACGATTGAAATTAATCAACTGTCATCGCCCATTAATTGTTTGAATAAAATTCAAACGGAAACGAATGATAAATATCTTTGTGTACGTATAATCTTTCAAATATTTTTCTGAATATTATCCATCATCATTTCTTTTTTTTCTTTTTACAAATTGTAGATGGCTTCGAATGATTATTTTCTTCTTCTCGGTGGTTCTGAAGGTAATTTAGTTACTATTTATAGAGACAAATTTCGGCGTTTATATGAAAAATAATATGTCAGTTTAATACTCAGAATTTTGAATGATAAATCCGTCCATCTATTCTCAATATGTACTCACTCCAATGGATGTTTTTTTCTTCTCATAAATTAATTTTGTTTTTACTTTTGCACTATGTTTTGAATGTTTTTTATATTAAATATTATTTCTAGATCTAATAAAAAATAATATCATTGTAATTTACGTTAGGTCTCAAAGTTCGAATAAAAGTTGGAATTACTATCGGTACGGTATTGATCTCTATGAAAAAAATTCCTGCTTTGAAAGTATCCATTTGTAATTTCTTATTATTACACACTGTTATCATTACAAAGGTCAAAATTGTAATTTTGTTCCGCCTTCTACGCTTGCAGTTCTAAAACTACTCATTACTATTGAAAGACTTCAGGATGTTCTTTATTGATTACTGTACAAGATATTTTTTTCATTTCAAAAATTATCTTTTACAACTGTTTACAATATTTGCTATTTCCTTCGAGAACCATTTAGGACCATTGTGAACAATGGTTAACTACAAAACCTAGTTGTATAGCCTGAAATAGTTGTATCATCGATATATTACTTTGACTTTTTCATTCGTATTCGTTCGTTAACTGCATCCTGCCGATTTTAATAATTTAAAAAATAATTATACTTTTTCGATCAGTAATGTCCATCATGTCGAGAAAAAATAACGGACGATAGAAGTTGTTGTTATTATTATTTCAGAAATGATGTTATCTCTATATGTGGTTGTCTATGTATTTGATTAGTAAAGTGTTTTTTTAACGTTACGCTTACTGATTGACTTAAATATCCTCTGTATTGACTATCGTGATAGGCAGGCATACATACACACACACACACACACATATATATATATATGAAAACGAAGAGTAGAGTACAGGACGTTTGTATATCAATCGCGCAAATGATGTATATGTCTGGTATTCTCTCTTTCTCTCTTTCGCTTTCTTTCTCTTCCATATGGCATTTGAAGCGTTAATGAATTGTCTTTTCTTAGTGGTATTGCACGATTATTCTCCTTTTAGTAAAGAAAACAGAACTTTTTCATATATGATCTATGATACTGAACATGCTGTGTCTTCGGCATTTAGACATGTAGAGAGACAACTATAATGTTCATTCTAGTGAAACAAAATTAATTGAATCATCTTTTTAAATTCTATTCAAACCATAGACGTTACTATAATTATTCTACCTAAAATTGTATATCATAGTTCACTGGAATGATAAAGCTTTAGGCAGATAAAAAGCAATAATGACTATCGGTGGACTATGGATGTGTATATAGCATCAATAAACCGTCGTTTAGGTAGTTAGTGTATAAATGTACAACAGAAGTTCTATGACTCTAGGAATTCTATACGACATTAAGCACTACTTAATACGTAATTTGAGTAACTCCATAAATATGTTTGCCTTTTATTTAATAACTATTAAAGTAAAAACCTTTGGGTCTAAACAACGTGCACACTTTAGACAACAAATTTATGATAAAAAGAACACGCATATGAATGGCGACACGAGAAAATGATTCGATATCAGTCAAATATTATTCTTAGCACAAAATATGTTACGTATGAAAACAATGAGACATTCTAAAAATATCAACAAGAAAAAGCAAATATCTAAACCTTTATTCCCACTCTTTCCTAATACGTTAATCACAGAAATGCTATAGAAACATCGGTAAGTATCTTAAATCGAATTACAAACGACATATCACATGTGCAAAAAATCTGCTTCTGATATAATAAAAAAGCACGTATGTTCTCACCATTTCCAAATGATAAAGGTAATTCATGTTGCTCCATCAATAGAAATATAATTACTCTCTTAAAAACAACGTTTTATTTTTATAAGAAATCTGGAAGATGGATTTTTATTTTTAACGCTTCTCCTAAAAGTTATAGAAATAGGCTTTGAAAAGGTTTTGGATTAGTATTAAAAAATTAATAATATATGTTAACTAAAGTCTGTTTCCTCTTTCGTATTCAAAATTGAATCAATTTCATAAACTACCCGAACGACTTTTTCTTGTATTAAAATAGTTTTTCTCTATTTTTACTTAATTTATTTCGTTTAACTAAAAAATATTTCAAGTTTACTCAGAAATCATTTTAAATGTATATTACATAATTTTTCTAGTTGATTTAGCAATTCTCTGATGAGTTAGTAGACTTTTTACATTACTAAACGGTCAATTATAAAAAAAAATTGGGTATTTCCTTCTTCGTAACAATGCAGTTAAGTGGGGAGTAGACTTTATAGAGTACGAAACATGAGTTAAGTACGAAAATCTACTTGAAATAAGGTAATCGATGTTTTAAACTAGTTAAATCAAAGTATACACTTACGACATCTTAATTGTGCTTAGTACAAATCAGGAGAAAAAGACAGGGATTTTTGATTTTTACTCAATTCCCGATATCACTCTTCGATCGTTTAAGATGTCAATCCATGTACTAAAAAGAATAGGTTTCTCAGACTGAGTTGAACATCTTGAGAATTTAATTAAGAAATTCAGTTATTCAGTCAACTATTTTAAGGATATATTAACATTTTTGATGATTAGACCAATGTGACCCTTAGCGAATTTCTCAGACGATGTAACTCCGCAGAGTTGTAAGACAAAGGAGAAGAAATTGATATTTCTTTTCTAGCGGTAACTAGTCTGTATAAATTTGTTCAAAAAATTCAATTCATATTTTTTACTTTTGATAGTTTAACCATTTGAACTCTATAATAATTAGTTTTTGATTTTGTGAGACATAAAAAACTTTTTAAAATATGATTCAATTGTAGTGTAAAAAGGTAAAGATTTTTCTTTTTTTTATCATCATAAATTCAAAAACAAAAACTGATCTTATACAGATGGTTCTGTCTTTTTTAGGAAATAGAAGTGTATCTTTAAAGAAATTGAGTGAACTGCTACTACAGCTTCGAATACTCAAATATACTGAAGACGATAAAATTTCATCTTGCCGAATATTCTCTTTTGAACCGAGTCTAGAATCAAAAAAGAAAAGATGAGATATATCTATTAGAGAAAGTAAACATGTTAATTCAACTGAAGACAGATACTTGTCATTTGGGAAAATGTTTTTTTTCATATATATTTTGAATAACAACAAATTTCAAATAAAATAAATCTCATGCGATCAGATATATCTATATCCACCTTAAAAGTAAAGAAAAAAAAAAAAGACGAAAAAACAAAAACTCTTTTTTTTTTTTTTTCTTGTTTTTCTACATAACTCAATATATATAAACTATGTTTGATACTAGCCGCCATAGAAAGACATGTACGGATGTGCGGCATTACTTTTGAATTCGAAATGCTACACTTAGTAGTTCGGAATCTGGAAAAAGAAAATGTGATAATTATTAAAATAGAAAAGGTCTTGTAAGATGAATTGTACATATGAAAAAGAAGAGGATGTTATACAAAACAGAATGCCCTCGAACAAAAAACAGTCCTTAGTTTATATTATCAAATAACTCTATGAATATAGAAATAAACAGAAACCTTGTTGGGTAAATTTATAAGAGATGAACATGTGCTATTCAACTAGTGAAAAAATTATCTTCAAAAAGTATTAGAAATTCTATACAGTGATATTTCGAATTGCATATCATCAATAGTATTTAATAGCAAAAAAGACAGTATTCGACTTATGTTTTGATATTTTTAGTATGACCTATTTTTAATCCTTTTTTTATCCATAGTGCTACATAGATCGCCTCATATTTTCCTTTTAGGTTCGATTTTTTTTTTTTATCGAGTAATATAGGAAAATTATAGACAATTAATGGAGAAGATTGATTAGTGACTTATAACTTATATCACACATATCTGAAAAATGTTTATATATTATATAATATTGTCTTTGTCTAAGCAAAAAATGATAAAACTGTGCTTAGAATACTGTAAATATTTCAGAATTTGCCTCTAATTATCCCATAATATTCTAATATTTTATTTATGAGTAATAAATTTTTGTTTATTTGTAGAATGGTTTGTGTAAGATGTTTTCATAGAATGTTTTTATTCATTAAAACTATGTTTTTCATTTTTCAACAAGTTTTTTGTTAGAATTATTTGAATTATATATATCATTTAAAAATTGATGATCTTAATCTGATTGATAGTATTAGAAAAAATATATTTAAACAAAATGACTAACATAACATGATAGAGAATATTTGATATTTCACAAAAAATCGTCAATACGTATAATAACAAGTATAAAAGTAAATTATAGTCTTTATGTATTTGATATTTAATATTAAACAGTGCAAGTTTTTTTATAGATTTTATCGACAATTTTTAAGACTGAATTTAAATGAATTAGTACTTACTTTATTTTTATACACAGTCAACTATCATTACTAATGTTGAGTATTTGAGAGAATGATGAATTTATCAAACTTATTTATTTAGAGACATCATTGGAATTCTTTATGTGCTTAGAAAAAAAATTAGTTGAAAAAACACACGTATTCGTGCCCCATTCTATATTATGTACAATTTTATAGTTCATAAAAGTATATTTTTTTAAAAAACGTCCTTTACTAATATTTCTTAAAATTTTGACAAGTCAAAGATTATCTTTAATTTTACTATCGTAGTTCTACATGAAATTAAGATATTATTTCAATTTTTATCCAATAAAACGAGAACAATCAAATAACAAATTCTGTTAGGCATTCTTTACAGAACAGTTATTTATGTTTTGTTCAAACTTTACTATGTTGATATTTATTAAAATAAGTATGTTAAAAAAAAAAAGGGAACTTCAATACTGTTTTTTGACAGTACAAATATCCTTTTCTCTCTTTCTCGCCCGCTCTCTCTCTCTCTCTCTCGATAGATGCTATTCAATGGGTATAAGTGAAAGCGAACATGACAAAGTAATAATCAATCCCTTTTTCTTTCCTAATTGTTTTTTAAACGTCTGTCTGTTGGATATCTTACTGATACTATCTGCATCAAAATGTGCATCTGTCAAATACAAGACGAAGAGAGAAAGAAAATATATATTATCTGCTATAATATGTATCTGTTTTTTTTTTTTTTTCTTTTTCATCATCATCCAATTGTATTGCTGTATATAAATGTTTTGTTAATATAAACAAAATGCCAATCGTCATCATCATATATATTCTTCTGCATCCGTTCTCATGCTTGTCATGTTTCTCTCATCCCATTTCGTTCCGTTATCTATCTACTTTTCTTTTCTTTTCTTTTTTTCATCTGCCTATATCGATGCCAACAATTCTTCTCCCTTCTTTGATAATGAAAAATGCATCATTAAATCTATTTTGTTCTCTCCTCTTTTTTTTTCTTTTCGTTTCATCAATTGTAATTGGTATTTGATGAGGATAATGACCAATCGTCTTTTAGTATTAGAGAAACGATAGCGATGTAAATAAATAAATAAATAAATTCAAAATCCTTCATTCTTCAATTTCTATAATAGCCTTAGAATAAACACAGTTAGTCGTCGTTTCGTCTTCTATAACGTAAATTATTTATGTCAAATAATAATATTTCTTAATAAAAAAACAAAGGGAAACAAATGATAAATGGGATAAACAATTTATTTAAATAAAAATAAAAAATGAAAGAAAAGAAACAAAAAAATTGTTTTGTTATAAATAAATATAAATATTAATAACGACGACAAGATTTTAATGACAACGACAGATATGTAGAAAATGTATACAAATTTTTATTGATTGTTCCTTAAAAACATTTTTTTTTTTTTTTATATTATAAACAAAACGTAGACATAGAGAGAGAGGTACGTGCAAGTGATTTATTTTTTTGTTGTTTAGTACTATTTGCATGTATAGCTGCAGCGACTAATAAAAAAACTGTGTATACATAAAATAATAATAGGCAACAAAAGGGGGATAATATCAACAATTTCTTGTAAATAAATAAATGATTATTATAGAGGATCTTAAAAGTATATTATTAACTATTACATATAGTTTATTATTAAATAATACAATAAAAAATTGATTTATAGACCTCATAAATTTATATAAAAGATAGATCGATCAGATTAGAATACAGAAGATTTCTTGCACTTTTGATATATTACTTAATTAGAATAATGTAGATCTAGTACTTGTTAAAATGTTCGAATTTGATTTGATATTAATCTAACTATCTCATACTATTAAGAAAAACTGTTATTAAATCAGTTTTATATACATTTTATTTCTAGAAATACAATTATATGATAAGAATGAAAATAAAAAATTGGTCAGAAATAGTTTTTGATCTAATTTTGATGACTAAAAAACGAAAAATTTTTCAGATATATTTTCTTATTCATAAATAATCTTAAGTATAACGACCATTGTTCTCTTTTTACTCTGAGATCGATGGTCCATGTTTAGCACAGTAAAATGAATGTAGATATCCGATGAGATTTTAAACTATTTAAGTTAAATATTTACTTTAGGTATCAAATGATCTAATAGTTTGAGAAAACTTACTTCATTTTTAATTATTTATTTCATAGATCTCGACGATACGAATAAGAGAAAAATGAACATTAAAATTGAAACGAATAAACCAGTTACATTTTCAATTAAAACTAACGATGATCTAACAGAATCGAACGATATTTCAAATCCTTTTTCACACGTCCATGCTCACAATTCTTATCAACAACAAGATATTTTGATGTCTCGAAACATTCCACTACATAGTACATCTCAAAGAGATTATATTCAATCAGCGTATTCCGATCCTAGTTCCTATTGGAAAACATGTTCATCAATGAATGATATGACGTTAAGATCACATATAGATTGTAGCAATCCTAATTATTTATCATCAATGAATTCTACTGATACACGATTATCACCATTAAAAAACTATAATACATCAATATCATCTTCGAAAAATTCAGTACATTTATCAAAAACTCATGAAATTAAAACAGTTGAACAAGAATGTTGTAACGATTCAAGAACATCTTCACAAACATCGAATGAATTAAATGATGTCAATGATGATCAAGATGAAGAAGGAGACGATGAAAGTGGATTAGATGAGAAACCATTAGATACTCAAAAAACAAATACAAATTCAACAACTTCAACAACAAACAATAATCGTAAATCAAATCGTCGAGCTGAAAAACCACCACTTTCTTATATTGCATTAATTGTAATGGCTATACAAAATTCACAAACAAAAAAAATGACACTATCAGAAATATATCAATTTTTACAACAACGTTTTCCATTTTTTCGTTCAGCCTATCAAGGATGGAAAAATTCTGTTCGACATAATTTAAGTTTAAATGAATGTTTTATTAAATTACCAAAAGCTATGGGACGAGCAGGAAAAGGTCATTATTGGACAATAGCACCCGAATGTGATTATATGTTTGATGACAATTGTTTAAGACGGAGACCACGTGGTAAGTACCAATTATCATCGTATGAAATACGAAAGTTACATTGAAATCTTTCAATATTTCAAGGCTTTCGACGTAAATTAGCACCAACACAAAAGCCTTATCCCGGTCTATTAACTCAAGCAAATTCAGCATCGTCCTCCTCACCAAATCAAGAATACAATTCGTCAGATATATCAAGTGGCTATTTTGGAATCGATTCATGTTATCCCACTTCGTCATCATCAATATTACCACCTTCAATATCGAATGGTCATCGAACATCTCGTTGTCATACAACAAATACAAATGACACTTATGCAGCTGCAGCAGCAGCCATGGCCATGGCCTATTCTTCCTATCCAAGAATGACAAATCATTCTTCATCACATTATAATCAAAATTCATTTGTAAATAATAATAAATATTCTACAATAGCTAACAATGGACAATTGACAGAAAATGAAAATGAAAATCGATCGTCTTCTTACGATCTAAATCTACTCTACAATCATCAACCATTACCAACAACGTTAACATCCAGAGATGAAAAAAATTCACCGTCAACATCATCTCAACAACAGCAACATCCAGAGTCAATGAATATAACATGTCATGGCTCTTTAAATTATCCAACACAATCACATTTTACCTCTTATCCATCGACACCATTTCGTTTCGATCCAAATGATCCCTATTCTTTAACATCGTCAAATTTGACAGGTATTATATACAATCTTTCTCATTTAAAAATAATTAGAATTCTGTGATTTATCTATTTTATTTAGATTTGAAAACTCTCAATCAAAATCATTTTTATCCACCTAATATTTGGCATCTTGATCAAAAACCATTTTTACAAAGTTTATATTATGAAAACAATAGTCACAACGGTTCATCGATAACAACAAATTCTTCTAATCTAACTTTAGTTCCTCCTTCTACTCAGTCAACTTATTAAAAAAATCTTTTTTTGATTTTGTTTGTTACATGTAGAACGATATTTTAAAGTGGATTTATTTGTTATTGACTCTATCACATTAATTTGTATAGAAAAAAACAAAAAACGTTTTATTGTAGTTTCTAGGAGAATGATAAAATCAACCAATAGCAATATCACCATACTTCCGATCAGATTCAACGATCTTATTCTTCATGTTTATGTACAAAAACAAAAGACGCTTTTATTTAATATCATCTTATTAAATTAGCAATAGATATGGTCTATATCTTTATATCAGCACTCATGGGTTTTTTTTCTTCTTCCACTGCAGATGCACTAAATAAATGTGATGTAATAAAAAAGAGCAGATACATTATAGGGATAGAAATGATTTTGTTTGACAGACAATCCTCTCTTCTTCTTTTTTTACAATATCACCTGTCAAAAGTATAAGATATTGATTAATGATCAAATATACTTCCTTTTCGCACAACATGCTCTCTACATACGGGCAAGATTTATATAATAAATAATCGATAACAAGATCAACGCAGTTGCTCTTTTCTATATTGACTTAATTTACAAGAGAATAATGAATTATTTAAAAGAAAAAGAAGAATAGACTTGTTGAACCGATGAAATAGCATTTTTCCGAGATATAGGGGTCTTTTTATAATTACTATCGAACAGTGGGCTTAATTTTTCGTTTATGTTCAAATTTTTCTTAGAGTTGAAGAATTTTCATTATAGATTCGATCAAGCATCCCTGAAGAATAAGGATTTTGAATTTTATAGTACCCATTGCTGAGTAACTGTAAGTCTCAAAAGTGATGATTGCTTAAATAATCATTGGGCATAAACGGGTAAAACTCACTCGTGTCTCTCACGTATTTCCAATGACTTTAAAACCTCAACGATTTTAAAAAACAAAGATAGTTTCGGTGCATTATATATAAATTATGTAAAAACAAGCGGAAAACCCTAGTTTTCGTGAAACGTGGCTTTCAGTAGTTTCTCAAATCTTTTGCTAAAAACAAATATTGCCACAAGACGCAACATGGTTAATTACCTATGATCTACCCGTCACCGACATTATCAATAGTCACTAGTGCTGCGACTCGAAGAAAATTCGATACCATACCCAAACCACGGAAAACCAAGATCTCGCTTGACTTCCGTTTTGAAGAGGACACTCTAGAGTATCATTCTATGAGAAAAAATCAGTCTAGTCCTATCTGGGAGTTTCTAAAGAACACTTCAAGAAACACTTCAAGTCAAATCTTACTTTCACTAAATTTTAATAATATGCAGTGCGCGTGCGCTCGTGTAAAATGCACTCGAGCGCGCTCTTGTTTTCTCTGCTCAAGCGACGACCGCTCGATTCGTCCCATACCTACTAGCGCGTAGTTGCAGTACTTCGTACAAAGTATGAGTCCTGCATCTTTATTAAAATGTGAACTATCATCTTTCTCCTTTTTAATGCGATGCGAAGCAGAAACCGCATTCCAGTAATCACCTTTGTCTTTTTTTCCTATCCATCTTTGTCGTCATTTTCTGTAACGATTTTCTCATGAAGTGAACATCGCCTCTTGAATGTTGAAAAAAGAGTAGAGAGTCCTGTGTCTGACCTGTGTCGTAAATTTTTCTCACAATTGTAGGACATTCATGTTCTTATCTACAGTGTCTGAAAGTAGATCGATTGAAGTTTCGGGACTGGAAACTGGATAGAAACAACATAGTGTTCATGGTTTTCGACTGAATGAAATGAAAAATGCTGCTGATCAAACCAAACTTCTACCAGATTCAAAAAGTTGCAGTTTTTAACGAGAAAAAAGGCTCACTAGTATGTAAAAAGCCAAGAGGGAAAAAGTGGAATGGGCCATTCCAAACCATTTTTGACAGTTTTTTCCATTCTCCATTTTTGGACACACTTATATACTATGGAGTGTGTATTTTGAGAAACAATGTGTTTGTGCACATAATTTATGTGTGTAAGAGTAGCCCTATAAAAAAAATTCCAGTGCAGCACTGCCAGTGTGCATTGCATGCCATCGGCCACTGACACTGGCTGGCACCGGGGCGCACCCGTGCCCAGCAAGTGTCGAACGAGTGTCGATATATTTCTGCTGAAAGAGTACCGCACTGGTAAAAATCAGTGCCGCACTGGCAAAAATCGGTGCCACACTGATAATTTATTTAATCAATTTAATCAGCTCTTTATTATGGCTGTTTATGCTGAATTTTGTATTAGAGTGCGGCACTGATCAGTACCACATCGACATGCCAAAACCATGCGGCATTGCTTCGGCACTTCTCTTATAAGAAGGAAAAGATGAAGTCAGAAAGACATTCGAAATATTAGAAGTAGACTATAGCGTTAATATAGACAGAAACTGACAAAACAAAATGGTGATTGAAAACAAAACTTCGGCACTGGTGCGAGATTTTTCATTCTTTCTGGCACTGTTGCGAGATTTTACATTCCTTCTGGCACCGATGCGCACCGGTGCCCAGAAGAAAAATTATTCGGCACCGGTGCGCAACCGTGCACAACCAGTGCCGATAAGATATTTTTTTGTAGGGAGCTGCTTCAATGAGCGTCTTTCCAATACAAGCAAAATTGGGATACAGTCTACTGGAATGAAGATTTCGCTGAATCTCAGAGTCTGGAAGTTTTCAGACATGCTGATTCCAGTGGCGATAGCAATCTGCTTTGGTTTTTACTTTCATAATGGACTTCTGGAAAAGTAGGCTTTTGAGCAGAGGGCTTTCGCAAATATTGCAATTAACTCCAGCACTCCGTACAATGGTCCGGAGTGGCGAAGTGTGTTGTTTTCTTTTAGAATAAAATAGTAATATTTCTCTTAATATTCTTCTCCAAAACAGAACAATCATGTTCTTTTGCTGAGAATATTTTCCTGATAACGGAGAAATTGTGTTCTATTCTGTGAATTCTTTTCCCACAGACAGAAGATGTTATTTTCATCTCATTCTGATCAGGAATGTGAAGTAGAATTCAGACGAGAATTTTATGGACATAAAAAGGGGCTCAATGCAGATCTTTAGTTAATTAATATTAAATTGCCACAGTTGATCAGGGAGCATATTTTTCTTTTTGAAAACGAAACAAAAAGTTTTCACTGAGGAACAGATGTGAAGCAAAAAGTTCTCAATGAGCACGCTTATGTTCACAAGATAACATGGCAAGTTCAATCCCATTCACAACGCTTAACGTAAAATTAAAAAAAATTCCAAAAGTGCAATTTCGTACGCTTTTGTCTGCTCGCCATCTTTAATGCTCATTATTTGCAAAAGCAAATGTACAAAAATGTCTTAAAATATTTAACTAATATGTAATAGATGCACGTCCCTAGTGAATGTACTTGATTACTTCTCGAATCAGGAGGTACTTGACAAGTGTTTTTACTTCTCAAGTTCTTGTTTAAATACGGCCTTGACAAGTATCATCATTTAATTCGCGTCAGTCAAGTACACGGACGAGTCAATCAATCACTCTTGTGCTTGTATTGGTCAGTCGTATTTAAACGTCACAATATCAATCAGTATAAACTTAATAAACCCATGCAGATGACAAAAGTCGTGCGAGCGGTGTGGCGGATACACGAAAAAGGGCTCGACTCCTAGAAAAATGAGACTTCGAACCCTCGATATAAACGTTCGAGGGGTAATCGATTTCGAGCCCTCGGATTTCAGATAGGTAGCGAGTCCTCGAGAAAAATTTCAAGCCGTCGAACAGAGATGTTCGGGACTGCCGAGCCCTCGTCTCCCGAAGGTGCGATGTTCGGGGCTTTCGCCTCGTCCGAGGGTACGACGAAGGCTCGGAAGTTCCGAGCATCTCTGTTCAACGGCTTGAAATTTTTCTCGAGGACTCGCTACCTATCTGAAATCCGAGGGCTCGAAATCGATAACCCCTCGAACGTTTATATCGAGGGTTCGAAGTCTCATTTTTCTAGGAGTCGAGCATTCGGCGGGGACCCATAGAAAGCACAATTTCGGACACTCCAAATACCCGTCGAACAAGTGGTTGCGAATGAATTTAGATGTTTCTGATGATCTGAATAAACTTGGTAGCTGTGCACGTGTCTGCTCAACAAAAGTAGAGTATGGTGCAGAATACGTACAAGGTGAAAAATAATGATAAATGAAACAAGTAATCGGCTGAAGTTTTTCAAGTAAACTTACCTGCAATGGGTTTAAGTGCTTGAACAAGTATTTGACAAGTAACTCAAAGTGCTTGTAAATAAAATTAATTGTGGAAAATCGCCTTTCGAAAATCGCTTTCCTAGAGCGAACCTTTGTGAAAATATCATCATCTGATATCAATAGTATACGTCATAGCGATGCACTATAGTGATCATTCATTAAGAGAAAGTTTCTCAAAATCGTACCTTTTTCTGGAACGGAATCTCCGCAGCTTTTCATTCGTGACAGTCGACTACAAACAACATCTTTTTTATCTGATTAAGCCCCAAGTCTGGACAATTACGTCGAGATTGGCTAAAATAAAAATGATGGCGACATTGTCAATGTCCACACGTAGAAGTTATCCTTGTCATTACCATTTTAACTATTATATCGTTAAACGTTAGCACTGCTGACAATTATAAAAAGATGGCGTTAGTCTGCGGTTAATTTCTCGGTGCAAACGATTTTCGTTAACTGACATATTATTCGGCAAGTCTTTTACCCAATTAAAGATAGTTCATCATTTAATGCATAAGAAACGTGCCCATCAGATTGTACGAGAACGGATGACTGCATTACTTGAAATAACATTGTGTATTCGTGTCTCTAGTCTCCCGCTTTAAGGATATCCTCTTTTTTTGATCATTTTTGATAAAATCTTTATCTGCAAGAAAAATTAAACTGACTTATCTGACGAGCTTTTCAGGTCTACAACCTGTCTTCCGTGTTTATCTGAATCGTGTTTAATTCATAAACCAAGAGTAATGCAGCTGCTATTAGACTTTTTAATTTATGGCTGCAGATATTTACTCTTTCGTTTATACTTCGTAGATGCCACTAACAATCGAAAATGAAATCGAACTGTTATTTTGTTTGAATTCTATGAGTGAATATTTACTGCCCAAAGGTTTCTTCTATCTTGTATTATGGTCTAAATTAAGCCGATTAAATGAACAAAAGAATTATACTTTCGACGAAATGATCGAACATCTAAAGACACTATATGATGAAAGTGTATTCGATAATCTCGATGCTGCTCAACATATTAAGGAAGTTGCAGAATTCAAATTAGATTCATTCGCTCCATCGCCAGATCAACAGTCAGATTTATCTACATCAACATCGAAAAATGATGAATTGACATCAGAACTATCCAGTTTAACAGATGAACGACGAACAAAAAAAATATCTGTTACTACCACACAACGTAAAGCAAGAACAAGAACACAAACTCCATATTCCCCAGCATCAACCTTAAACAGTTCTCGTTCGCAATCACAACCAAATGATGTTCGACGTCGTGGAAGACGAGCAAAAGATACAGTAGATATACCACCACAAGAAAAAAATAATAAAAAAATAACAACAAGACAACAGAGAACAAGTAATAGTGAAAATAGCGGGCCTTCATTGTCAAGCGCAAAGCCAAATGAACCAATTAGTACACGGTCACGAAAAACACCATGATTAAAATTCTTAGGCTAAAAAGAAATGTTTGATTATGGTCTTATATAAAAAAAATATACTGTGATTGTTTTGTTGTTATATACTTCGCTGTGTCTTTTCTACATGGTTTGAGTATTCATTTTTTGGTTTAACTATTATTTGTATTCAAGAAAAATTTTCTTTTCTCTTATTGTGTTTAAACGCGACATGTAGATTTTTTTTTCAGAAATGTTAAAGAGTTACTGTACGTTATGCTTCTCAGTGGTCTAGTGAAAATCATTACAATTCTAGTACTCTATGATTATCCTATTCAAAGTCAAACGTAGTATGTATTAGTTTTACTATACTCACGCGTTGTTCAGATAGATATCTTTTGTGTTGAAAAGAAGTCGAGTTAATTGTCTTCTTTACGTTGACTACAGCACTACGTTTTTTTCATTTAATATTTAGAAAGTAGAATAAAAAACAAATTGTCCATTGAACTATTTTTTGTTGAGTGGAACAAGTACTGTGATAAAAAATGTAACATTCCACCTCCCCCACTTGTGTTTCTAAGTGACATTCTCATAAAATTTCAATTTAACATTTTGTAAGCAGCAGGATGTTTGATTGACGAGAGAATTCGTGAATTTAATCAGATTTAATCTCTGATTTTAACTTTGTAATTTTTCTCTGTTTATTTTGTTTACTTTTCAGACAAATAATGTCGAAATCAGATAATCAAACTATTCATCCAAAACTTCCCGGATTAACATTATCCACGGATGAAACAAAAATACTTGCTGAATGTGAAAAAGAATCATTGCTATATCGAAGTATTCCATTAGGATTAATTGGATTATTTGGAACACAACTTGCTATTCAACGTAATATTTTAACACCAAAATTGAAATATTTAAAACTCGGCTTTGGATTACTCACCGGATATATTCTTGGTAAGACAAGATTTTGTTCTGTAGAAAGTTCTAAAATTGTTATCTTTTTTTTTTTGTTTCTCATTTCATAGGGAAAATATCGTATGCTCCCACTTGTAAAAATAAAATTTTAAAAAGAATTCCAGATAGTGATCTCGCACGAGCCATTAGAGGAATTTCTCCGAGAAAATCAGAACAAAATTTACCTAACGATCCTAATTCAACAGCATATCTGGCACAAAACGATCCAAGTAAAGTTGTTATAATGGTACCTCAAGATTCAGTGGATATTAACAGATCTCGAACACTACTAACAGACAACGAAAGCTTAATGAGAAATAGATCGACGAGTGATGGACGTAAAGGAACAGGCCATGTCAATCAATATGGTGATCTTGTTCATAATGAAAAGTAATATTGCCTTTTTCCTGTAGACGACAATTCGTAATCTTTCTCTTCCGATTTTTTTGTTAAAAATTTATTTATTGTGTAGACTAGTTACCTTACTTTCATAAACATGTTTCAAAAAAAAACAACGTTATTTTTTATATCTTTGATATTTATTTGTCCATTTTAAATATTTATTCTAGTCTGACTTTTTTTGTGAAACAATTGCAAAGGTGTAACATTTTTACTTTTTAATTTAAGCGAATAATCTATAATCACCAAAGATACTTCTTTTGATTGCATTTTTCTATGTGGGAATTTTTATCTGACTTTTTATGATGAATGGAAATGATAGAACGCTCGTTAGTAGAAGCTAATTTAGAAAAATTTTTATCTTCTTAAAGTACTTGGTCGACTTCTACAGGATAAATTTTGAATATTTAATAGGAACAGTTTAAATCGATTTAGAACTAGATGTGATTGGTATAAATGAATATTCTTCTAATGTCTGGATGTAGCGTTTACTCGAGCAGATTTTTCTTCTCATCTGTTTAGATTATAAAGTTTTCCTTCGGCTATAATATTCTCAAAAATATTTCTGAACAGTAGAAAATGTCGATAGTTTCAGATTCGTATTCTTCGTAATATTAATTTATCAAGATAGACGTTGAAACGACTCTACACACCATATTCTCTGCTCTAGTTTCTTGTCTTGATTTCAATTAATCACTCCATTATATCTCATTCTCTGAAAGAACTGACCATCGTTCTCGTTCATATGATAGATTGTAGATATGAATAATGTATGTGTATGTTAATTCCTATTCGAATAAGTGTTGTTCTTCTTCTCTCTCTCTCTCTCTCTCTCTCTCTCGTCGAAATTACACATGTAATTACACAGATAAGTCAGCTGACTTCACATGTACTAGTAGATATTTTCTGTTTTATCATTTATTATTTACTGACTCTGGTTAGAGGTGTGTAGAATATGAATTTTGTGTTTCCCTATCCTATGCTATTTACTTTAGACAGTTTGCGTTTTACCATATACCTAGAGTAAGAGTAAAATATAAATGATACATTCAACGAGCGAAGTTCGTTTTTCTATCTACAGTTTTATTCAAAAATCAGAAACACACATTTCACTCTTTCCGGAAATACGTTCAACTTTGTGTCCAGCGAAAACACGTATAGATATCCTTTTACTCAATCATAAATCATAAATCAATAACAGAGTAAATATCCATATTTTGCGATTTTAATAAAATTCTCAGTTAGTTCAATCTATTTTATTTCATAGTGTTCCACATCATAGATCACAATATCGTAAAATAGTTTATAATTATAATTTAAAAAAAAAATGTTTGCAGGTTAAAAGTGCGGATTGGTAATTCAATTATTTTATTTACGCATAAATATTCATTGATAAGAAGGTTATCTATCTGATATTTTAGCTAATACACTGGTTACCTCAACTATATGATCGAATGTCGAACATATGTCAGATAAATAAGTAAATAATTACTATAGATGTGAAATAACATTATTATTATGTCATTATATGCTTTCGTTCGTAAATGTGAATTGTCAAAAAAAAACTAAAGATTTTGATCAATTAATGATTTATTATGTACAAAAACAAAAAGAAAAAAGCAAAAGAAAGGCAGCGAATGTATAGATATATAATTTATCATTTATTAAGCTGGACACTATTGTATTATAATTGTGTAACACACATAATACTATTATATTCAATTATTGTATGTAATAGACATTCGGTTTTTATTTATTGATAATATGAATACATGAAATTTTATTTCATAGTTCCATGAATGAAAGAAAGAATGATGAAATAATAGAGTTTTCGTATTTGTTCATCGATTTTGTTTGATTCAGATGAAGAATAAGGTGATAATGGCCTCTTGATTGAGACATTATATTCTATGAAAAAAAGAACGATGCCTGTTTATTAATGTATACTAACTTTCTTTACATAATATGTACTTTTAACTCTTTAGTCATTCTTTGTAGTTAAGTTTTAACTTTTTACTTACTTTTGTTCGTTTTCTTTAATTAAAATAACTTCACACTTTAATAATTGTAGTTTTTTTACTGAGAGTAACAATTTTTAATAAGTAATTGAGTTTTAGTTATAGAAAAGAGTATATAGAATTCTGAATGTAAAGATCTTGGTTATCTTTACATTCAGAAGTGTCTTCCTGATAAAAAATATCTCGCCATCCAGAATTATTTGCATCAAACAAATGATAAATCGTAAAGAATGCACACGTAGAATAGATTATAGTAATTTTCCTCAAGATGTATAAATGAGGGACTAATTCTGATAACAAGCAATGCTTACTACTTCTTCTTTTTCTTTTTCTTTTTTTTATAGATGTATGTACATTATACACACCAGTTACGTCAATACAATAATTGCGATGATATAAACAAAATAAAAATTTTCTGCTATAAAACAAGACTATTTTACAAATTAGACTCTTTTTCGTTGAGTTCGAACAGTAGGAGAATAAGAATTTTTTAATTATTTGAGAGAGATGCATGAAATTACTTTGTATAAAAATTCTTTCTCTTCTCATTTATTATATTAGCTCTGATATTTGAAAAAAAAGAAAAAATAACGAGATATGTGTTCTGTTTCTGTTCCATTGTTGGACATTAATCGTGATGAGAAAAGAAAGAACAAGTAGGAGAAAAGAAAAAAGTCTTACACATTGATAATGATTTTTGAACAACACAAGAGCTTTTATATGTATAGTTCAATATCCTCTTATCAATATATACATATCCAAACTCATAGAAATATGTATAATGTCTTTTTCGTGTTATAGCGGTCAAACCTGTACTTTTTTTATTTGACCGTTCTATTGTTGTTCAATGTTTTATTTTTAGAAACATGATGTGTGTCCGCACGAAAAAACTCCAACTATTCCATCTTATATTCTAACGGATAACAATCAAGACGAAAGAAAGAAAGAAAAGAAAGAAAGAGAACAATAACAACAATAATAATAATATAAAAATGTAACATTTATTCTCCTTTTTACGTGAACGTGCATAACAATATGAAAAAAAAGTCAATGTATTGTACATACATAGAGCAGGAAAAGAAATGCAAAATGGAGGATAATTTATACTTATCATTCGAAGTGTACCTAACAATATGAGAAGCCTCGATTTGAAATCATAGAAAAAGAAGTATATAATCAAAATAATTATAGTATGATGTTCGATTCGTTATGGTTGATGATACGAAAAAAGAAAATCACGTATTTTAATTTTATTTTAAAAAATCGTTTAGAATAGAGAATAAACTATTAAATGTTGCCACTTATTTTAATATTATTAATTCTATTTCATCAACATTGTTGTTATTCTAAAAATATTATTTGTCAACGAACATCATCATCATCATTCTCATCAGCAAACTGTAAACAATATTATCTCAATGATAGTACACCATCAACTAATCAATTTATATTTAATGACAAGCAGAAGATGAAGATAAAACAACAGGTAATAATTATGATTTATTTGATTAAATACCTACAGACATTTGAGTAGAACTGTCAATTATTTTCTGGAACGATTCGATCAAATTCATGAGTGATTAAATATCTTCACACGAATTTCAGACAGAAAAGCGTTTTCATGTACTACTCTATACAAACTGAAATGGAAGAAATTAGTCTTGCGTTTTGTATAGTTCCTTCGTTGATGAGAAAATGTAGTCGGATTTGGTTAGATTGCTAATTAAATCTGGATGTATTCCGTTCAGTAAAGTGACTTATTCCTCTGCATTTGGTCGAATTGGTGTGGAAAGATCGAGTCGGATCGGACGACTTCCGTTTATCAGATTTTGACTATAATCCGTTAGAATCTCTCACCAGAATAGATCGATTCGTGTTTGATTTTAGAAAAGATCACTGGATTTTTCCGCATAAATTCTCACTAAATTACCCAATCACTCTCGCTTGAGTATTCCTACCTCATTTTCTATTGATATCCGTTATGTGTATCTGTTTGTAAGAATCGCTTGAATGATTAGAAAATGAAAGAAAAATCATTATTCTTATTGTATTATTACAAACACATAAAAGAAAAACTTTGAAACCGGTGTCAGGAATCTAGCCTCAAAAAACAAATCTTTTCAAAGAATAAAAAATATTATGAACATTTCTTGCGCAAGAAATGTCCAAAGATTTTGCTAAACGAAGCTAACTCACATGCTTTCAAGTGTAAAACTCAGGTTATACATTAAACAAAAAAGTTTTAAATAAAAAATTTCTGATATTACAGAATAATTTCCCGTTTAAAACTAAGAAATTCTAATTGCCGGTAGTTCGTAAATCCAATCCATAGGTATTATTGAATCCTGCAATCTGAAATAGACGGATATTAAGTGATAATCCTTGACTCCACTGGATCTGAACAACCGCTTTGAACTGGAATAATTTACAGTAGTTCAGAATTCTGCTAAAGATTTGTTTTATTATAATATGTTTTTCAGATATTTCCTATTAAAAAGTATCATCGTCAGATAATACCAGATAATCTATTATCTAGTCATAACGGAAAAAAAACCTCTAACAGACGTTATCGTCAGATACAACATTCACTAATGGTATGTAATAAAACAATTACCATTTAAACAACCGATAAAATAACTAGTTTTCGTTCAATTTTTATTTTAGGATTTTACTGCTAATGCCATTTATAATAAGGTTAGTTGAATAAAAGTAAATAATAATGACAATAAATATGGTTAATCATACCATTGTTTTAGGTTTATCAACGTTCATTGAATATAAATGCTAGTTTATATAAAATAAGTCCACAAAAGAAAGTTTGGTTTACAATTGAGAATGGGACGCTATTTGGTTTACCGCTATTCGAAGACTATGTTGGCCCATTTTCTATTCTATTTCAACCACACGAAAACTTTTTATCAGAATTAGGTAAATAAACATTTATAAAATTCAAAAATGAATAGATAATATTTTATTTTTTATTACTTTTAGATAAGAATATGATTGAATTACAATTAAAATTTGATTTTCAATTACCATCAACATTATATTATCCATCAAATCATTTATTATTAGGCTTATTTAATATGTCATCAACATTATATCATTCATCTATTCATAATCGATATTTAGTAATTCGTACACTATCACAAGCACTAAATGTTAGTGAACAAACATTGACTATACACAAAATAAATGGTTCAATGATAAAAGTTTATTTTTCTTATGATATATATTCAATGTCAAAAACAAATTTAACCCAATTATTAAAAATATTAATTGATCGATTTTATTCCAGACGTTTAACGTTATTATCATCATTACAATTACCACTTATTGAAATATCAATTGTACGTACATTTAGATATACCACTACCCCTTCCACTATAACAACGATACCAACAACAATAGTGAAATTTCATTCAATTGATTATTCTAATCCATTATCAGTTAAAAATATTAATATTCTCTCATCAAAAATAAAAACATCAACTATGTTAATAACCAATAAAACAACATCTAGAAACACTCTATCATTATTAAATAATTTATCATTACCACTAACGATAATTCCATTGTCTATCACTATATTTGGACTATTAGCATGTTCTATTATTGGATGTTGTCTTTGCTGTAAAAGACGTTCATCTTCATCTTCAACATTGTTATTATCCAATGAAAATCAAATTGGTCCACACAAACAACTCTATCATCATTACTATCGTCATAAACACCATCGTCTACAAAATTCACAACAAGATCAACGACAGTATATTAGCAAAGGTATTTACAAATATTTATTTATTCAATCATTTATTACGAATTTTCTTTTCTAATTAATCTTAATATCTGTTCTTCTTTAAGGTATACCTGTTGTATTCGCTGAAGAACTAGATGAACGTCCTCATGAATCACATACACCACTTGTTATGCGTATAGAAAAGCCCCCATTATATGAACAAACTACTATTACAACAACATCATCATCATCGTTACCTCCAGAATATACCCCGATTTCACCGTTGACACATTTTGTTTCTTAGAAAATATCATTGTGCCTTGTTTTATTATATATTTCTACTTTCTTTTTTTGACTTTTAGTAGGAAAATTTTTATGCCCTTTTTTTTGTGCAAAGCGACAAGTCAATGTAGACTCTCAGGTATTTCTATCTATTCTTTTTTTTTCTAGGCAATATTTTTTATAAACGAAAACAGTGCGCGTGTGTATTTTATTTCTTTACTCAGGTTCAATTCATTTGTGCTAAATCATTAATTAGATCGTTAGTTCATAGAAAGTCAATTTCTCGTATATCGTTTGTTCTTCAGCTGCAAGTAAATATTCGAAACTGGAAGTATTGTAAAGAATGCTTGTTTTTCATTCATTTGGAAAATCATTAGAAAAAAACTGTCATATTCTCACAGACACTGTATCACTGCTAAGCATAGCTTGATTATCTTTTATGTATCGAGAACTTTATTAAGAATGTTGTATTTTTTTTTTTTAATGAAAAATATTTTTTTTGTATTTAAATTATTGTTTAGCCGGCTAACGTAGAATATTTTGGGGTTGACTGATAGAGGGACATATTTTGCTCTAAAAGACTTGGGAATAAACTGTGCACATTCTATTACTTTTTTCTTTTTTTGTGTGTGTGCAGAGTAACTCATAATCTTCATGACGGTGCTTGATTTTTAAATAAATGTTACAGTAGAGATTAGAATGCAGATGGCTACGCATATGATGAAACATGAAGTTTCATTAAAAAATTCGAAAAGAAAATTCTAGCCTATTAGAAACAAGATTATAACATTCAGAAGACAGGAGATTGAGCAAAAAAATAACATTATCACAGAGTTTGTTTGCATTATGAAAGATTTAGTGATGTTTATGGTCATTATTCGATGAATGTTGTTTTCTCGTACAACTGTATATTATTTTTTACTAGTCAAAGTCAAAATTTTGATGTCTACTGTAACAAAAATATGTTTAGCAAGAAAAGAAATTAATAAGTAAACATGAACAATATTGTTTGTTTTCTAGTTTTTCACATTTTTGATAACTAATAAGTTTTTTCCATTGTGTCTTAATGACATAAAATTTTTTCATATATTGTATTTGTACAGCAATGTATTTATTATATTAGACTATTGCTATTTGTTTGTATACTTTGTTGTTGTTTTAATTCTGATAATACAAAAAAAAATTTATAAATGAACGAACGTTATGTCTTATAAAGTTTTAGGTTTATAATATAAACGAAAGAATCATTGACTATGAATAACTCTATTACTTCTCCGAGATGGTACATATAAAATTATGTTAGAATACTAAGATTGACGATCTCATACCACATCGGTAAAGACTGACACCAAAAATATACTTAGGTGTTCTTCTGCCGGTTTACTATGGGATAATTTCAAGTTTAGCAACGTTTTCGGGTAATAAAAGGACACTCTTCTTCTCTTTAAGAGTATTTCTCACTTGTATATGTGTGCGTATGAACATTGTGCTGTCGTTCTCTTAGATGAAGAGCTTGAGAAGAGTTTAAAGATCATTATCATGTGAAAAAGATTACATATGGAAATCGATTGCTATTGATTTTATTTAAATATTATTATATATAACTCCCCCGCCTCCATAATAGAAGATCAGTGGGCTTCTAATATGCCTTGCCAAATCATGGTCTCTGGGATGATCTTCTATTGAGGTATAATTGTTTTCCGTCTGTTAAGAGAATTAACGCCCTTTTCCATAGGAGGACTGATGTCTATACTTATATTCTGTTTTTCTCGTTTATTTGATCACTTTTTTGCCACCAAAATGATTTAACGCGTTCAAATAAAGATACTAACATATAAAAAATGATCATCTATATGTGACAGGGAATATATACATACTCTAGGAGATATGCACATTCCCTAATAGTGTTTAGGGCATTTGGATATTGAAATTTCTCATGGAATATAGCGAATTGATAAATTATGTGGACAACTAACTCATTTTTGAAGTTGAAGCCAAAAAATGTTAAGTTTTGTTTTTATATGGTTTGAATGAATGAATGACAACGAGAGTTAGATGAAACATCACTTTCTTTGCATTTATACCTATTGGTTTACAACTACGACGACAGTCACAACGAAAAAGTCCTTGTCCGCCAACTGTTGATTCATTAGCTATATAATTGAACGAAACGGTAATGATATATCATCAACTGCAGTTGATTTCAAATTGTTTTGCAACGTTCAAGCTTCAGTTGAAAGAATAACGTTTTATCATCTCAAAATATTGCATTAATAAGAAAGAGTACAAGGTCGAGCATAATCCAGAAGAAGATTACTAAATTTTACTGTTTTTTTGCTTTTAGCTTCAAACATGAGTCATCTACATTTATCAATTTATCGATTCGTTATATTCCATGAGAAATTTTAATATCCCCAAATGCCCTAAACACTATTAGGGAATGTATAGATTTCTCAGGGAATGTGCATACTATCCCCTAGAGTATATATACATTCCCTGTAACATATATATGATCATTCTTTTGCTTTAGTTACGAGATCAAAAGCATACGTATAGTATCATTCTCTCCTAACTGACGTCGACGTTCTATGCATAGCACTTAGTCTATTATTTGTTGTGATATGTTTTAAAGTTTTAGTGAAGTTTTTCAGTTGATCAATCTGAATGATTTATTATGTATTCATTACAATTTTGTATTATCAACTCTTTATTGTCATATGGAAGCGTGATTTTGTATGGCAAAGTTCTAATTTTCATTTGTTGTCACTCAATAATTGGTTTCATCATTCAGTTAACAGATGTAAAAGAAATATTTTTGACAGATAGAATTAGATCGTTTGTTTTTTTCCATTATCACAATGCGATAAATTCTGTTTCATGCTGCAAACAAAGAGAAAGATCATTTTCACCTTTCAGATTACTCACTGATCTTGTTTGGACGTTGTTAAAATCGAGAACAGAAAAAGATGCTTTATGACAAAATGTTTTCTGCTTTTATTAAGATTACTGGAAACTCGAGCGATTTAGCATTATCAAAGAACTCAGCATACTTTTGCGAAATAATTCTTAACTTAACTAACGAATATAAATCTTTTAGATAATGCTTAACAGTTAATCGAAGTGACAGTCATGAGTGATGATAAAGATATTACACGTGAATTATGGTCATCACGTTTACCAATATGTTTCATATTATCGGAAGAAGATATGACAAAAGTCAATCGTAGTGAATTACCAGAGCCTCTCTATTTAATGTTATCACGTCATATATATTTTCCGTTTATATTAGATAAAATATCGCGTTATTTTTCAACATACTATAAAGTCGATAGTTCAAATTCAAATAATTCGACATCGTCGTCAAACATTAATCTAAATAATATATGGCTAGAATTTGAAGGTATTCCATTAAAATGGCATTATCCAATTGGTGTCTTGTATGATTTATATACAAATGATTTAACATTAACATCGTCAACAAGTTCGTCGTTACCATGGCAAATTACTGTTCATTTTACAAAATTTCCTGAAACAGAACTCATTCGTTTTCCCGATAAAGAATCCATTGAAGCACATTATATGTCTACGTTGAAAGAAGCTGATTCTCTAAAACATAAAGGTAAAATTATTGGTGATATGCAAAAACGGGATCATAAACAATTATGGAATTCATTAGCACAAGATAAATATGATCAATTTTGGAATATAAACGCAAAATTAATGTCCTATACAGAAAATTTACAATATTTTCGTTATATACCATTTCGACTCTATCGTCTAGATAAACCATTTATACAAAAATTATTTTCACCTTTTGATACAAATACCAACTCAATGTTAACACTCGGGGATTTAGTTCAATTTGCATTAATCAACGAAGCTGCATGTGATGTTAATAATGAATTGAATTTAATAAATACACGAATTGAACAATTTCGCATTATTATACACGGTACACAACCATCATTACAAACGCCTGTACAATGGTTAAGTGAATATTTTAGTTATCCAGATAATTTTCTACATATATGTCTTGTTGATAAATGATAGTAACACAATACATCTATTTCAAATCTATTTTTTATTGTCCATAATAACTTAAACAAGAAATCTTCTGTACTCTACAAATCATAAATTAAATTAAGCCATTTTGTTTCGATTTTTTGTCACTTTTTGCACATGTTTTGTTCTTCTTTTTTTTTTTAAACAGTGTATTCTTCTTTTTTGACACATGAAAACACTCAAATTCTAAAATATATATAATTTAAGATGAAAGTTCTATGATAGACGGAGTATTGCCTGAATGCCATCTCGAATTTAAACTAACTGTTGATGTTGGGAAGAATAGTTTTCTACTATACTTGATGGGACCAGATTCAAAAGATAAAAATCAGAAAGATATCTGAAACTCGTCTAGTAAAATGGTTAATTATGACTTTTCATAAATATTAGATGACATATTATCTCTGTTTAATTATTTCACATATTTTTCTGACAAATTAAATTATATTTATATTCACATAAAAATAAACAATATGAAAGACTGTAATCGATCGAGAAATGTACAGGTTTTGAGAACAGTATGTTTACAGTCTGACAGTCAACGAAAGTCAGTCAAGTTATTGTGAGAATTATAGCTGTTCATTCAAGTAACCTGCAGAGTTGGAGAACATATTATTTTGTAACCTCAATATTTTTAAGATAACAATCAAACAAAGTCTAGCAATACGATAAATAGAAACTTATAATACGTAGAAACAAAGTATTTTTCAATGTGTCTTTTCCAGAAACATTTTATCTTTGTAAAGAGCTAGTTGCTAGACTTTTCTGGGTCGTTTTCAAAGAGAAATATTCAGACTACAAAGTAAGACTTTCTCCAACTCTATATGTTGCTCGAATGAAGGGAGAACTGTGACGTTTACAAAAGCATGATTACCTTACTCAAAGGTGGACTTTTATGTGGATAAGCCATGCACAAAGAAAAGTTGTGTAGTATAACAATAAGAAGTTGTGTAGCAATGTTGGAAAAGTTAAGTTACTTATGTCAAAGTAGATGACCTGTTCGACAGTGTGTTTTGGCGTACAATACTTTCAATTAGTCTTTTCTGAAGGTTGTCCGAAAGGTAGAGTATGGTTAGTGCGTGTATATGGGGAACTCAGGCGATTGTAAAAAAGAACTGTACGTTAGGCTAGATTTCTGACCAGCCAGTTTCCTGCCACAACGAAAACGAAAGATTTTCTCAACGGAGTATCAAACTAGGTTACCATTATCAATCTGTGCGGAACATGCTATGGTGGGATGCATACCTACATTATACCCATTTAGTTTGAAAAGAAAACAAGAAAAGATAAGTTGTAATGGATGATAAATGGTGACAAGGACCGCTAGAGCTATAATTGATGACTTTCTCGATATGAATGATCATGTCAAAATTTTGTCAACTATAGTAAAAATGAACCTGACAGTTGTTTGCATCCTGCACCGGTAATGATATTTATTTTTGTTTAACATCAATAATAATCATCAATCATCACGATGAAAATGTCCTATTTATATAAAGTAAACGTCGTCATAATTCGAATTTGAACAACTTAGCCTCATTTAATTGATAAAAAATGATGATAAGAGTTTCTAAGGTTACTAAAAGTAATTCTTAGCATCATCTCTCTACTTTTTTTGTTCCAATATCAACAATTATCTCATTTTACTAAACTAGAACGATTGTAATCCAAAAATCATGGCTAATTGGAGATCAACCTGTCAATTATGGATATATCCATTATGTGATCGATGGTTAAACGAGTTATTAACATCACATATTCGCATGTCATTGAAATTAATTGGTTTTCTCATACCATTTTTACATCAACGTATTCTAACAAAATTATACAAAGAACGTCTTCAACTCATGGACAAAGAAATGTTGAAAACAATTGAATGTAAATCCTTATTGAATTCTGATACATTTCAAATTGAAATGATTACATTTCGTACATACATTCGACGATTATGCACTATTACAAAAAATGTTCTACGATATTTAAAAATTATACTTTTAACAAATACTTCGAAATGTATATTGATTCGTCGTGTAATCTATAATGATGCATGCAATTTTCATCATGCTCTAAAAACTTATTGTTATCATTTAGTTGAACGTAAACATTTGTTAGATAAAATTGATTATATTCTATTTGAAGATATATCTAAACATTTATTATGTTTAGATTCAAATTTTGATTTAATTCTTAAACAAATTTTATGTTATGTTCGTCGACAAAAACTAGAAATACTTTATATTTTAATACCTATTTTTATTGATATTCTTAAACATATTCAACAAATCAATTCAATTATTGAAATATTATTAAGTAAAATTGGACATCAAGTACGTAAAGATTTATCATTAAGAAAACGTTCAAATCAAATTAAAAAAGAGATTAATATGTGTAATAAACAATTTAATTGTTTAACAAAACAAAAACAATTGTCTATAAAAAAGATATTTAATCGACACTATTTTCATCCTATAAAATTTTTCGTTACACAACCATGTACAAATCGAATGAATTTTTATTCACAAATTATTCGAGAACATCATGGAATACCAATACAAGATATTAATGAACAAATGATTTTTAACCATTATAATCATAATCCAAAATTAAAAGATGTACTCTGCATGAATATGAATTACCTATATAACTCATATCCACAACCATCACCACGATCAATTAAAGTCTTATCACCAAAAGTTACACCTTCCAAACGTTCAACAACGTCACCAAAACCACTGCTAAAAAATTTAGATGATTTTTCCAATGATACATTGCCAACAGTACGTATAAAGAAAATGTAGTAAAATCTATTTTTTTTTCTCTAAAAACAATCTTATCTTTTCATCTTGTCAAAGTGGAAAACTTGTTTTCAGAATCATCCATTATTAACGAATATTACACCAACAACTGAAACAAGTGATACCAGTATTGATTCCACTGTGACACAAATAAATACAGAACCGCAATTGAAAATAAGAAAATCAATTGACACTATCACGAATAAAGATAAATGTCTTGCAAAGGAAATGATGCAAGATCAACCATTATTAACAACCGACAAACCAAAATCAAGAAAAGTATTTATTAAACCAAAACATTTATCGAAAAATGTTCAGTCATCGACACAAGCCCCATTAATGTTGAAATCTAGTCATATATCAATGCCTAAAAAGATAAAAAATCAACGAGATTTTTTTTCTAAAAAAGCCATTGATTCATATATCAAATTCAAAAATGCTAAATCGGAAGTAGATATTCAAAATCGATTTTCATCAAAAACAAAAAAATCAGGTTTAAGAAAAATAAACAAAGTGAAAAAAATTGTGTCTAATTCAACAGTAAAAATAATTGAAAAACGACAGATGACACGAAATAAAAATCAGTCGTCACATCTATTGTTAAATCAATCTCAAAATTATTTAGACGTCATGATCAATGATGTCAACAATAATTCTCACTCGATAGACACAAATAATAAGTCAAAACAACCGGTTTCTGCTATTAATTTGACTAAGAGTAAATCGTTGACGATTATAAATGCACAAGAAAATATGTCGGATATATTTGGTGCTATTTCTAATAATAGTGATCATACATTTCGAAACGCGTCATTGAAACTAAACAGAAATACCGACATGTTGCGTCAACAAAGTGACCAATCCATGTTCGATATTAATGTAAGTACCATAGTGAGACATTGTTGATTGTGACAGCTCGAAAGAGAAAATCCTCTAGCATCTCAGTAGTCATTACTACACAATCATTACTTTCACCTTTCTCTTACTGAATAACAAACAAAACATCGTTTTGCTGTTTTGCCAGTGCATTTCCTCAATGACATGTATGAAATTGAAAATGAATGATGTACTTTATTCACAAGAAAAGTCAAACCGAAAAACTGCAATAGATTTGTTTAATCAAAACTACAGATCAACAACGTCAATGACACCCGTAGTGAAACAATCGAATAAAATTCTACGAATGAAACAAGTGGAACTAGTAGGTAGACTTTCGAATAGTGCAACGTATAAATTGAAACATGGGCTTGACATATGGACAGGAAGCGAACAATTTGATGGTTCATATCTGTGACTTTACTTTAAGGGGGGCTCCATCCGGTTTTATTCACCAGTTCGTGGAGGGACTTCGGAGTATATGTCCCAACAAAGCTTTCGGTTCTCGAATTGTAGTTTCTGATAAAAGAATTTTTACTGTTGAATTAGACACAATTTTTTTCACTTTGTTTATTTTTCTTAAACCTGATTTTTTTGTTTTTGATGAAAAT